TCCCAGACATCTTCTTAAATTTTGTAGAAACTTAGCTTGTTGTGTCAGAAATTCTCTGAGTTCCCCTTAGACGGCGCCAAATTGTGGAGGCCAAAACCAACACAACTAKATTTGTTAGGGTTTCGTGAAGAGGTAGAGATTTCTAGGGTTAGCTAAGATCACCAAAGTATCGAAAGTTGTTTTTTTTATTGCTCTGTAAGTTTTTGTCAATCAGATTGCGAGTGCCCTCTCAAGGGTTTTTACATCAAGTATATATACTATCTCTAAGGCGGCTAAACTTCCTAAGTCTTCGCGGATTCCTTCCTTGCCAAGGTCGGTTGCATCAACGTGGGCTTCGCGTCTGGACCGGGYTTCGGACTGTCTTCATGTCATTGGGCTGCTGGRCCRAGAATGTGGTCGGCCCRTCRAAGGTCCGAGGACGCGGTCGGACCCTCGAGGCTCCGAGGCCGTGGTCGGCTCAGAGGCCATGGTCGGCACTGAGGCTGTGGTCGGCTCCGAGGCCGTGGTCGGCTCCGAGGCCGTGGTCGGCTCTGAGGCCGTGGTCGGCTCCGAGGCCGTGGTCGGCTCCGCGGTTGACCCGAGGACGTGGTCTCCCGCCTTGCCCCGACGCTTCCTGCTTTGCCTAGACTTGCCGCACGATCACTTGCTTTGCTTCGCGGGAAGACTTAGGTGCTATTCCGCCTTGTTCGTCGAGAGTCCGGAGGGCCACTTTTTCAGTTGTCTGACTTTGAACGTTAATGTTGAGCGGGTGAAAACCGACTCCAACAATAGACTTATTAGTAGTAGTGGTAGAACTAATTTTGTGACGGTAGACTTATTGATGGTTCGTGCAATGGTAGACTTATTTATAGTGGTGGTAGATTTATAAAATGTGGTAGACTTATTGTGTTAGTGGTAGAGTTAATTTTGTGATCGGTAGACTTRTTTTAATAATAAAATTACAACGCTAAAAGAAAAGATGAATTCAATTTGGGATTATGTCAAAAGAAAATATTAATTCAATTGGGGATTTTGTGGACATTGGGTTTTCTAGATCTGAATGAGATTTGATCGACCTTTACGAAGATTCCATATTTCTACTGGAATATCCAACAAAATCCTTTTTTATATTTAAAAATTTAGTTTTGATCTTTTTAAAAAATCTAATGATTTTAAAGTACAGGTAACCAAAGAAATACATGTCAATGAAATACCGAAAAATCGACATACATTTTAGAAAATTCACTAAAATCCATCGAAACACATCCAGATACACTATCTTCTTGAATAAAAACGGTTACAAGTTGAGAATATTCCATGACAATAATTCTAATTATAAGATTTACTATTCGGTAGAAATATATTTGGATACTTTGACGATAGAGATGAATCATTATCGTCTTTGATTTCTATTTATTTTGTGCATGTTTATATATTCACTTGTTCTGCCTTTTGTTTCTGATAAACAAGAAAGAAACGATGGCTAGGTTTCTGCTTGTGCTTCTATGTTTCATCGCACTGCTAGGCTCGAGCTTAGGTTCGAGCCACGCCAATGGCCGCGGAGAACAGTCACTCGCTCAAATCAATATCTATGAAACAAGTCTTGCCTTGGACAGTTCTGTCCATATTCACGCTTCACCTCAGACTCTTGGTTCCCAGGTTTCTCTTCCTTGATGCTCACGCCAAATGTTTTTACTTGATATGTGTTCTTGATCTCACCAAGAATTCAGAGTTTTACTAAACCGACTCTGATCTACAGGGCGAGGATACTGAATGGGTAAATGTTGCTATTTCCAACCCTAAACCCTCTTCAGATGATTGGGTTGGAGTTTTCTCTCCAGCCAAATTCGAGTAATTTTTTTTTCTCATCTCTAACTGTCTTTGTTTGGTTTCTAGGTCAATGTACTTTTTATGTAATTATCAACTTTTGTCTTTGTTTTTTGTAGCTCTTCGGCTTGTTGGCAAACAGATGGCAAAGAGAAAGCTCCTTTCATTTGCTCGTCGCCCATCAAGGTTTTGTTTATATCACATATTGGACCTTTATTTTAAGGATTTGAGTCTTGATCATAACATTCGGATTTTTTCTATTCGCCAGTACATGTATCCGAACTCTGTTCCGGACTATACAAAGACCGGTAACGTGATTCTCAAGTTCCAGATTATAAATCAGAGAGCTGATATCTCCTTTGCACTCTTTTCTGGGGGACTTTGGAGTGTAAGTTGACTGTAATTTCCTCTTATACTGTTTATCTGCAATGTCAATGGAATTATTGATCTTTTGAATCACAACAGCCAAAACTTGTCGGGGTTTCGAATACTGTAGCTTTCGCCAATCCTAAAGCACCTGTCTACCCTCGTCTCGCATTAGGGAAGAATTGGGACGAAGTAAGTCTTTCCTCTTTAGAATGCTTTTATTCTTGTATCTTTTTCTAAAACATGCTTATTTGTTTTTTTTAAAACATTTTGATAGATGACTGTAACATGGACGAGTGGGTACAACATAAATGAGGCCATTCCATTCATTGAATGGAGTGCAAAGGGACTTGCAAGTAGAAGATCACCTGCCGGAACCATAACCTTCAGCAGAAACAGCATGTGTGATGTCATGTTTGGTTTATCTCTCTGTATGGTATCTCTGTAATTCTTTCATCTGGACCTTTTTTTTTTAATTTGTGGATGCATTTGACAGGTAATCCTGCTCGCAGCGTTGGTTGGCGTGATCCGGGTTTCATCCATACTGCTTTCTTGAAAGAACTTTGGCCAAACCGCGAGTATATATGACATGCTTCTTTTTACTTTAGACCAAGAGTACTAATATAGTTTTCTAACTCCTAAATCCTTTGGTTTCCAGATACATATACAGACTAGGCCATGACTTGGTCAATGGGTCGACAATTTGGAGCAAAAACTACACCTTTGTCTCCTCTCCTTATCCTGGACAAGACTCGTTACAACAGGTCATAATATTCGGTGACATGGGGAAGGTACGGTCTCTTTCGGATTATTGCGATCTTGGCATACCTACATACTAATATAATCTCAAATGGTTGGTTATTTTTTAATCAAATATATGTTTCAGGGAGAGCGAGATGGATCGAACGAGTACAATGATTATCAGCCCGGTTCCCTCAAAACAACTGACCAAATCATTAAAGACTTAAAGAACATTGACATTGTTTTCCATATTGGAGATATCACTTACTCGAATGGGTATATCTCTCAGTGGGATCAGTTCACAGCGCAAGTCCAGCCCATTGCTTCTACTGTTCCTTACATGATCGCGAGGTTAGTACATAATAAAAAGCTTCATAGTTGTTTCTTCTCCTCTACTCTTGCGGTTTCATTATATTATTTATGTTTCAGTGGCAATCACGAGCGCGATTGGCCAGACACGGGATCTTTCTATGGCGGTAAAGACTCTGGTGGAGAGTGTGGTGTTCCTGCAGAGACCATGTTCTACTTTCCTGCTGAGAACAGAGCTAAATTCTGGTAAAGTTGTTACTACCGTTAAGACGTTTTATTGCAAGTTCCATACCAAAAGCTTACAGATTTTCGGCATGAATGAATGGGGGCAGGTACTCTGCAGACTATGGAATGTTCCGCTTCTGTGTAGCGGACACTGAACATGATTGGAGAGAAGGCACAGAGCAATACAAATTCATCGAGCGTTGCCTTGCCTCTGTTGACAGAAAGACTCAGCCTTGGCTCATCTTCATAGCTCATCGCGTCCTCGGTTATTCCACCAATGATTGGTATGGCCAAGAAGGAACCTTTGAAGAGCCTATGGGAAGAGAGAGCCTACAGAAACTGTGGCAGAAGTACAAAGTCGACCTTGCTTTCTATGGACATGTCCATAACTATGAGAGAACATGCCCCATTTATGAGGTTTGGATCCCATCAATAAGTACTAATCTACATATTGAGTTTCTCTCAACA